TTTGTACAAACAAATAAAAATAAATACTGATGTAACTTACAAAAATCCCTATTACAACTGCTTCATGCATAAATAATGACTGATCAATTAATAATGAAATATATGTGCAAACATCTACTATGATGCCTTAAATAGCGGGTAAAGGGCAATAAATAATAGATTAAGATGTATTCATTACTAACTCATGATCTTCAAATGCCTGTCTTTTCGGATGTAGTTGGAATGAGGAGCATATGTTTTATCAGAAGAGCAGTATGATTATTTTGAGCAGGCGGCAGAAATTCAATAGAATTGGAATTTTATGATAATCATGATTATCACCCAGGTTCCTCATAGCATGTTCCTTTCTTGGAAATATATATACAACTGGATTTTGAGGAGGATGGAGACGTGAGTTTTGTCAGGACTTCCTGAGGCAAAGAATATTTTCACAGACAATGGAAATTAGTCCTTTAGTCCACTTTGCATACTGAGGCTGTTATCCTTATGCAAAATAGTTTAAAAATAGTCTGGAAATCTCTATGCTACTGCATTAGAAATACAAACAGTGTAGAAATGTAATTCCCAGAGTACTATATACCTAGGAGACCGGAAAAACTGGATACTTTTCTTGTCTTCAAAGAGAAAGCTGTTTCTGCAACATTTTAATACAGTTGATTCTGTCAAGAAAAATAAATCAATAGCTTCCGGTCTATCTGCACCACATACCTTTAAGAAATCTTTTGTTTTACGGTGCTTTGGGAAAAATACAGGCAATGATAACAAGGGAGTGGGAAAGCCAATCAATTTTTGGTAGAAGTTTCTGATACCCTACATATTGATTTGCTTCACAAAATATGTTATAAGCTGAATTGCACCATTGCCACACTTTCATTTCTGAAAAACTCCTGAATAATGCAAATGGAAACAACAATTTTCAACCGAAAATATCTATTCATTACTTGGTTAACATTAATTGTGTTCTCAGTTATTAACAGGGTGTCAGCTGAAGTGTAAAAAGGAAAAAAAAGATTCACACTTTTCTACTGTTGGAGATGTGGAAACACTGTTGAAAGTGATAACCCACTAAACCTTCAAGTTAAGGAAGGACAGCTTCAATAACAAGCAGAAGTAAAAAAACTCATTTCAAGTGATCCTGACCACTATAGCTAAATCTACTTGAAATTGGTAGCTGTTATTTGAAGAAGTGACTTGGTTTTACATGGTAAGGCTGATTAGCTTTTATTAATAGAAGATAGCATGTTCCTCTATCCCTCCTCTTATTCTGATGAAAAGGTATTTCTCTTTCAAAGTATGTACTGATTATCCTCTGCCGCATAAAAGAAAGTGCTGCTCTCAGTTTTTCTGTCTCTAGTTCACATGTTCCAGACATAACACAGATATTTTCATACCGATTTTGGGAAAATATCCTTATCTAAGCAGAGAAATCATCAGAGAACAAGCCAGTATTTTCTACGCTATTTCAATTGCTCTCATTTTAGAAATGAAAATTTTGGCTCTTTATGCTAAGTTCACAAGGGTAGGTCTTGCTAACCAGCAATGATGTCTTGACTAACACAGTTTTATCTATGAACATATATGTAAAAAGTTATAGAATGGACAGGGATATTACTAAGACACAATGTCGTTATCAGATTAAGTGCCTGTCATCAAAGAATTTGACTACAGCTTTTGTCGTAATCCCGTGTTTGTGTCTGGAGTTGGATTAAGCCATGTCACAGGAGTCAGGATTGATCTGACCAAGACAGAGGTCTACAATGACAGCTCCAGTGAATGAAGAAAGATAGACATTTCTAGTGACCAGTAAATCTCAAAGCAGGTCTGTTGAACTGTACCCTAAACAAGCCCTAACCTCTCTTCGCTTATTTTTAAGGGAGATGAAGATGACTAGCTCAAATAGTGATTCACTACTAATATTTTCCAGGAAGTAGAATTCATGCGTGAATGACTGAAGATTTTGAGACAAAACCCTGAAAATCCCATACAGAGATTTTGGTCAATCATTTTTAATGCTGTTCTCATCTTTACTAAATCTCCCTATTTTGCTTATTTGATTAATTAATTTTTAATTTAAGTAATTCTTTGGTATTATGAACAGGAAGACGTGAGTCTGCAGCATTTACTTTTGTAGGACTATGTTTCTCAGACAACCTTCAGGTGACAGAGAAAAGTTGTGATCTGCCATTTCCCTTGAGAGTCTGATAATGAATTACTTAAAGGGTAATGCTATATATGACCTAAATTGAAGAGAGAGAACTTTCTCTTAATTTTTCAAGATCTGCTTTGTCTGACTACACCCTGACTAATTTAGAAGCACTGGAGATCCTTTAAAGTTACTGGAAACAAACAGGAGAAACACAAGCAATTTCAACAAACTTATGATAAGAGTAAATCTACAGATACAGATACATTTTTGTCTCCTCATGGATCAGGTCAGAAGGAAAAATAAATACAGAGGTATAGAATATTATAAAGAAATAAATATTTTTATTGTTAAATGGTAGTCATGGACACTACCGTAATAGTTTTTCCTTCCTGGGTGTGAAGTTTTTTCTTCAAGCACCATAACACCTAGTTTATGAGCAATATCTGAATAATAATAAAAGAAACATAATTTTGCCATCTACAAACATATGTAAGTAAGGGCAGAATATATTTCCCTGCAAAATATACTTTAAGGTCTTTTATTTCAATACTTTTATTCATACACAGTAATATCAATAAAGAAGGCAAAGTTGAATATATTTTTATGATGAAAATGGAAAAGTTTCAAATAAAAAAAAAAATTCTTATAATCCACACTTGACACCAGCTGCCATTACTCCTGGGAAGCATTTGCTGATCACCTACTGTAATGCACCTGAGACAAGTAGGGCCTCGCACTAAATAGATTTTAACTAAAGATATTGCCCCATGTAAAGGTAAGGGAAAAAAAAAAAAAAGAAAAAAGTGTCACTAAGAACAAAATCATTATTTTAAATACTGGTAATATACCTAATTCTATCTTACCTTTTCCCTGGTAAGTTTCTTCCTGGTCAGATACTTAGATTCTACTAAAAATGGAGAAATGGCTTCCTTTTAAGGAGTCAATCCCTCTTCCTGAATTCATAGAGATCTTTTCCTGTACAGTTCTAACAATTGTGATACAATTTGCTTGATAAACAAACAAAGAATTTTTTATATCCAACTAGTGCCATATGGAATGAATAAAATACGCCTTCACTTCCAGTTAACAATTCATTTCTGTCAATTTTTTAATAAGTAGGATTTTGCTTTAAAAATATTTTGTTAATTTTAACAATACACTAAACCACTCTGCATTAAGTGAAAATACCTTAAAGTGTAAAATAATATTCAAAAATTACATTTTCTGCCAACATCTGAAAGCAAGTCACGTCACTAAAAAGAAACCAATTGGCTTATCCACTGGAATGAAAGATTCTCTTGGAATGACAAAATATGTTTTGACTTTTGGCCTCTTCCGACAGCATCTGCAAATTTTTTCATTTAACTTTTTGCTTATGTTCAACACTGAAGAACTGTGTTCACAATATAAAAAGTGGAATTGTTTTTCCTCCAATGGGTGAAGCTGTAAAGAGTGTGACAGTGAGACCTACAGAGTAAAAACCCTTGAGGATCTGATGATATCAACAAATAACTAACCACAGATAAAATTTCCTTTGCTGAACAATTTATATTTTAAGCCAAAACACTTTTTTCTTCTAACCTGCTCACACTTTTAATGTAGCTCTATTGAGCTATTTCAAAACCAAAACTATTTTACTTGAACTCAAGGTAAAACAAGCACAATAGCTAATAATATCATATATTAATATAATATTGAGTAATACAAAATATCTTGTTCTTTGTATGGCAGACAATAATCTTATGAATCAAAGTCACAAACCCTAGCTTACACACTGTTAGAAACCAAAGCAATTTATAATAAATATACATGCACACATCAAAGCTAAAGAAATGCCAGATTAACATAGTGATAGTTTAAGTTGATATAAAAAGTATCTTAACATAATACTCCCAGAACAGCATATGACAAGCATAAGTCACCTTATTACTGAAGTTGGATGTTAGCTATTCTGTTCTTTATAAATTGGATGCATTCTAAATCACTTATGCTTTTTATAAATTGGTCTTTCTACCCAGTGAGATTTTACAAAATGATACCAAGGACATTTTCATCAGATTATATTTTTTAAATTCTTTTACGTTCTGTGTTTACAGCAAAGTGCATGCAAATTGTGGAAATGTACATGCAAGCTTGGCTAAAGTTACATTCATGTAACCCTCTCTTTTTCACGAAATGACAAAAAACCCCCATGTTCCTACCTGAGAGAGTATCTATTAAAACAGACAAACAAACAAAACAAAACAAATCAGGCCCAAAACATATAATAGTTGCTTTGGTAGAAAAATTGGTTTCCTTCAAGAGAAACACAGCACAGCACATTAACTAACAAGCATAAAATAATTCACATACAATATCAGAGGTTTACATACCATCAGGAAGGCGAGAAAAAAAGCGAGAAAAGAAGGCAAAAGAACAGGAAAAGATACAGGGAAAGGGAATACTACAAAACTGCTTTATACGTCGTGGTATGCAATATTTTCAAAACAGGACTGATTTTATTTTTATTTTTTTATTTTTATGGACCTGATTGTAGCAGAATAACCACAAACCAAAAGCATTTAAATTTTCCTATATCCTTTCCTTTCTCCTGACTGTTTGTTGTTTTTTTGTTTTTGTTTGTTTCCTTTTATTTTATAATAATTAAATATAATAAATTGTAGTAAAAATGGGAGAGAAATTTTCTAGAAAAATGTAGGCAGGAAGTTAAAGTTTTAAAGGTATCATCAGGTCTGATCTCCATGTAACCTGAGGCGTATACTTATTTATCAACAGTAACATCACATTTAGTTCTTGAAGTGCATTACATTAAATAAGAACACCCAAACAGGTTAGGAGATGATGTTAATATTACCTTTGTAAAATGAGTGGGCAAAGCTCTGCTCAGGAATTAACTTGGCAAGGAATCCATGGTTCAAACTTGGGTGAGGGATAGATGGTATGACCACAACTGTGGAGAAAATCATGGAATCAAATGTGAGCCAGCTAGTATTCATGTGTGGCCTGGTCCACTGTGGATCCATGACAGATATCCTATCTCATTGAAACATGCAAATATGGTATTACCAACAACACAAAAAAAGGCATTTCTAAAAGAAAAAAAACAAGTTCTGTATCAAGAGATAGGAAGCAGCACACCTATTATTTGGGCACTTCAAGAGCAACATTTATAGGGAAAAAAAGACACAGATAGATAGATAGATAGATATATACAAGCAAATAGGCAAGACAATCATGGATGAAAGCAGCAGTTTCTTAGTTCAGAATCATAACATTAAATCAGGAAGGCAAAAAGAATTATGATTTCTCTTAACTGACTATGTTCATGTAGTTTTAAAATGGGAAGCCTACAAGCACATTGACCTCAGAAAATTACTTAGCAAATTAAAGCATCATGATGAATCATAATGACTGGATGTGAATATGACACAAATTGGAAGAAAAATTCTATGACGAATGAAAATTAGAAACTCCATAAATGAAGAAAGCAATTAAAGATCAATACAAGAACAAAAACATACACCAAAAAAATTTGTGGACAAATGAAGCTCCTGTTCAACTCTTTTAACACAGAAGGTACAGTTATAATCAATCCAGTCAGTCTTGAAAAAATAAAATACTGGACTGAGTGAAAACTTTTTGAAACAAAGTGGTGTAAGTTTTGCATCCCTCATTTCTAACAGGTTCTGACACCTAACAGACTACCTCCTTTCGGGCTGAAGAACATGTGCCAGTAAAACCACTACTACTAAAACAAATCACAAACAGTTCAGTCAAAGAAGGCAATAGCAATGTTCTCGTTTTATTCTGTTGTTACTATAAGCTTTTAAATGCAGGCACCAATACAGCAGGACTCCAAGAAAGTACTCAGTCCTCCACTACTATGTCTTTTACAAACCTCCTCGCTCAAACAAAAGGAGCTCACATGGACAAGCAGCTGTTTATTCATTTTCATTTCATATTATTCTCTGTTTATTCATTTCCTAGTATAAAGATTTCTGTTCTTCCTAACACGTAACAGATTCAGGAAGATTTTTGGTGAACTACCTTGTACTTTACAACTTTGACTCCAGCAAGAACCCTGTTTCTTTAAAATTGTTTTCCAATTTAAGAAAAATAAAAATATTAAAAAATATACAAATGAAAATTAGTAATACCATATAAGAAAATAGAGAGAATACCTGAAATATGTATTTCAAAATCCCAAATTATTATACTGGAAGAAAGTAATATATAATTTCTTATTAGGATCTTAAGCTACTCACTAAAAATACTTGGTAGTGAAATAATTACAGTACTAAAAAACAATTAAATAAATTACATAACATTTGAAGAAAACAAATTTACCTGTACTTGTTGGTGAATTTATTTCTTGTCTGATATTTCTACCTGCCTGGCTCCCAGACCTCGCCGTTTCTCGCTGTGGCTCCAGAATGTCGCGGTACTTGGAGACCATCAGGACGGAGATGAAGTAAACTACTGCCAAAGCTAGGAATTGAGCTTGTTTGCTGTCGTCCTGTGCCAGGGAAAAAGAAACACATCTAGAATATTGAATATTTTCATAGAATTTTCGTACAAGATCATCACAAAGCTTAATAGATAATACCTTTCTGAAATGCTGCTTCTGCCAGCATAGCAGCAATTGGATAACACTGAAGGCTGAGTGGATTTTCAGTGGAGTCGTACACACAGAGCACTTTATAAGTCCTGAATTTTGGAGGTGATTTGGCAACTACACAAATCTTGGGAGTCTTGGGCTTTTCAAAACAGAGGCCTGACTCTGAGAGTGCTTTAAAGGCTTTCTGGCAGCAGGGGCAACTGTCTTCTGCTGCCCCAAGGATGAGATTGTGAAGGCCCTGACAGAAGGGGGTAAAGGGTACGATTGCTAAGAGAGAAATCTAAGATCACTTATGTTTCTCTAGCTGACACTGGATGCATAAGTAGGCATAACAGCTTCTGGTAATACATAGAAGCAGGGAGAATGTACCACTGTTTTTCTTCCAGAAATAAATTCCAGCTTGTATATTCTGATTTCCCTTTCACAGGAGCCGTCAGCAGCAATCCTTGGTTTCTAGGACTGAGGTAAGTGAAAGCCAGGACCACTATAACTTTGCTGTCTTCCTTTCTTCTCATCCCATGTAATCTACTGTTCAAGGAAAACTGCCATCTATGGCTTAGCTATTATCCTGATTGAGATTAAATTGCTCTAGTTCAACTGAAATGTCTTTTATTATTATTATAGTGTAAAACTTAACATGATAAAATGCAAACTTTAGTTTCTATCTACTCCTATAGTGGTTTCATCTTTTCTCAATTCCGTAAGTATGTACTTTCTATTACAAATCCAGTGCTTGTTTTCCATGTTTTCTGGGTGTTATTTAACCTGACTACATGTTTTTACAAGTCTTAAAATAACTAGAAATTCTCCTGTTAATTTATTTCATAGAACTTACAGAAACATGCTTTCTTTTATTCTTTTCTCCATTAGTTAAGAATAGGTGACAGAATATTGCCACTTGGAACTCAGGTTGGAGAATTTAAATGTAAGACATGTACTTGCAGGTATACAGTAATAATTCCTAATGTACTACATTCAGAAACAAGTACATTGTGGTACAGTTTTGTGCTAAAAACCACAGCAGAAAAATCTGAAAAACATTTTTATATATGTTTACATACATAAATATGTTCAGGAGAAGTGAGAACTGTGTTTACAAACTGATTTGCTGCATTTCTGTAACATATATACTAATTCTTCTTTCTACCCCAATCAGACAAATAGCTGACACCTTTTGTAATCAAATTTTTATCAACATAAATTGTTTATCTTGGCAGTGATTGGCTAGTATAAAATTAAGGCTACTACTTAACTATTACAGTTAACTACTAATCTCAAATAGCTTAATCAATATAATTTTTAAGTGCAGAAGGTGGCTGGTAGTTACCAAGTTCCAAGCAGATAGCTTGCAGATTATTTATGAAGTGCCACACATTAAGGATATTTTTAATTTGGGTACAATCAAAATCTCTTTCAAAAGAGAAGTGATGATTTTGCAAGAGAAAGAATTACAGCACATATTACTCACCACATCACGAAAAACAACTGCTCGTAGACGATTAATATCAACATCCTGAAGAAGCCTATCAGGGTCTTTTATGGGAGAAAGATTTCCAGGGACATTTTCAAGGGGAGTCTAAAAATAAAAAGTAGTGAGATTTTTGTTGTCTCAAAATATCAAAGCATTTCTGTTAGAACCTTAATTTGACGTATGTGTTAGCTAGTACAACAATCTCAGATGGTATTCCACATAATACTCAGATAAAAATAGAAATAAAGTGATGCTTTGAATTACTGTCTTAATACTACTTAGATATAAATTGTTACTTTCCAGTACCTTGGAATGACTGTATCTCTAGACAGAGTTAAGATAGTAATTTTCACTAGTCTGTTTCAGATTACAATTGGTTCATAGCAGAACAATAAATTGTTTCTAAAATGCATGTTATGTTTGAAAATGCTAAACAGAAATATAAAAATAGATGTTAATTTTACTGAGACTTACTGCAGACTACTTATAAAATAACTGTTACTATTTAAAAAACACAAAATGGCACGCTTCCTTTAAAAAATAAAATATATTACATGTGATGCCTGAACACCTAAAAGTCTTCTTATAGTGAATTTCCTTGCATTGAATGTGACAATATTGAAAAATGTAATGTCTTTGTGAGATTTAATGAAATAATGTTGTGAAAGGAGCTAATTTTGCAAAAACTGTTTGAAAAAGTCTTTAGAGATGAAAAAATACTGATTTAGTAATGAAAATATAATAGCAGAAAAAGAAGGGATCCTTTACAGCATGCAATGTATTGTATTTTAGTCCTGGGCCCCACCGAATTATTTCAGATTTTAATTTCTGTATCCGTAAAATCTTAAAGCTGTGAAAAACTTAAAAAAAAAAATAATAGAAGAATGAATTAATGACACTAAAAACTCAGTGGTAACTGAATAACCAATAAAATTCACTTCTAAAAGCAGATAGTAAATACTGCCTAATATGTACTCGAAGGTCTGTTGAAGCTATTGGAACTCAGATATTCACCAACAGAGTTGTAATTGCAGGATTTCATCTGAATTGGAGAGTAAATGGAATGGAATAAAAAAAGATGGAATAAAACAATCTATGCAGGTATAAATGGCAGAGGTGAGTAAGGGGACTTGTTTTTTCAAGAAGGCCAAGCAAGAGTGCAAAAGCTGGTTGGAATTTCTCCAGTCATACTCCTGCATCAAGATTTTCATCTTTCAAATAAGCCTCCTCACACACTTTTACCATAAACCAGTTAACAGGAAAAACCTAAGCTTTTGCCAAATATTTGAGAAGGCAGTTACAATTATTTTATGATCTAAGAAAGTGGTGTTTCAGACTTTTCATCATTGCTGTTGGTTACTTAAGGCTCAGTTACCTTGGTTGCTGCTGATGCTGTTACACCCTGAAGAGCATCTTGAGTTTTACCGCCAATTAATGATGTCTTGTTTACTCTCTCTCTTTGCCTTTGCCGGCATTCCAAGCAGTTCCTCACAGCCACACAACAAACTAAAAGAAGAAATGAAAATGAGACAAATTAGAATTTTTTTTCAAAATTATATTTAGAACATCAATTAGCACTGATTACTAGTAGGCAGTAATTGAAAATTTGATTAAAAATTGAGAATTGAGAATAACTCACAAATTTTACACCAGGAGCAGTAAAATTATTAGTAACATAATAAGTGGTATGAATGATAGTAAACAGTGAAGATAAATGCCATACTGTTGTAAAATATATTGAGGTCTACAGTGCCTGCACAAGTATCCCACTCTTTTTATTTTACTTAGCCAGCAAAGTCCTACAAATCCATGGAGACTTGGATAAGAAAAACTGCAACATGGAGGTATCAAAGCAGCTTTAAGAAAAAAAAATGTCTGTTTACTGACTTAAATTTAGTACTTTTACAACCTGAAATACATAAGGAAGAACATTTTCAGACATGTCTTTCTTATGACTAAATTGAATCGGCCTTAAAAACGTATCAGATCAATAATAAATGGGATTTTTACTTTATCACATCAAACACTACCTACAAGGTCCTTTCCTACACATGTCACTATTTGATCCATCACAACTCATTGATCTGTAAGTAACTATTTAATACATCCTGTCTGCTGACTTACCAAGCCTTAGGCACTGTCGCATTAGACCTCCAGAAGACATGTTTTTTTCAGCTTCAATCTCACTAAAATTTAGAGAACTGGCAAATACTAGTACATCAACCATTGCCATCAGACGGCTGAGAAACGTTACTGCTGTCTCTGCTGACATTCCTTGTGTCACTTCAATATTTTCCAATTCAGTCTTTAAAAGGAGATAATTGAATTAAACAGTTTGAACACAACCGAAATATAAAGACAGCACATACACATAGAAATCTAAATTGTTATGCTTAATGGCAGAAAGACTGAAAAGTTATTTTAAAATCTCCTACTGACATCACTAACATAAGCTGTGAGTGAAATTCAAAGTAAGGCTTCATGAAAAGTGGGAAAATTATTTACGTTTACATGCTGTAATAGATGAGAAAAAGTCTAATATGAATGAGAAAGTTATTAGCAATTACATAAAGACAAAGTAAGGGCAGATAATAAAACAATGCATGGTGTAAAGAGGGTGCAACATATTCTTACTTTCTTCCATAGGCTACGCAAACAGGTAACAGATTAAAGGAATTACTTTGTGTATAGCTTTTACTTTTTTATGCTCTAGATAAACAAGCAAATGTGGAGAGTGGAGTGGGAAAAAGTATACAGTTTTGCACTCTGTCTCCATGAATCGATTTTCCCTGGAATGTTTACAGCTTATAGAATTCTGACAGAGTCCAATTCTCCAATTATGTTTGCTACCTCACAACAACAAGAGAGGTAAAGTTAAAAGGGATGGCATGCAGCTCACATGTCCCAAAGAGCTGCTGTTTCTTTCCTGTTCCTATTTCCTACAGTATTGTTGGACTCTCCTTAGTGGGAATCAGCAGAAAATTTCTGAATGAGCTCAATATTTCTGAAAGCTAAAATATTTTTCTCTAAAAAGACACTTAGATGTCCAGAGTCATGTTTTCAAATGCCTTCAAGTAATTAACAGCAAGGATAAGTGAGGAAACAGCCAGCTTAATCCAGAAAATAAATATCTCTTTTAACACTTTTACCTCTGGAGCTAGGCAAACTGCAAACAGGCATGCGTGATACTTGTCTTCATCCAGAATTATATGTCTAAATACTATTTTAAAATTTGTTTAAAAGTGGAAGGTTCTTACTGATTGTCAATAAGCTTTCCAGTTGCAAGACTTTCTGAGCACACAGTTTAGTCCTTTTGAAAAGTACTTTCATTGTGCTTCTCTACTTTTATTAATTTGCTTAGAAGTATTTATAAATATATATATTTATATATATATATATATATATAGTGCTCTCAAGATAATTTCCTTGCAAAGGAAATAAAAAAACACAGAAAACAAAAAATTCCTTTATTTTCATACTTCTAAAACATCATTAGGACTATGGCTTACTTTTAAGAATATTTTTACATCAAAATTATTAAAGTGCTGTGCCAAACATAAACTGTGCCAAACAGTATTAAGGAAACAATTGTTTTGAAAGATGAAAGATACAAAGTGACATGTGTCACCATAATGATAGATAGCTCTTCATTTAACTTCTCTTAAGGATATAGCATGTTGGTCACATGAGTGATTTGGGAAGGGATGTCATCTATCTGAACTGCCCAATAATATTAGAAAAATAGTAAAGTGACAACTCTCAGAAGAAAGATTTTCAGCCTATCTCCTACTTTCTTTGGCCAGGGCTCCACTGTTTAGTTTGTAATTTTTTCCTACTCTTTTGAAAAATAAGTTGCTGGGTTTTTTATAACAGACTGGAAGAAGATTTTTCAAAAGCACTCATCCAAAGAAAATATATTTGCAAAAATCTATAGCCATAACAGTCTGCTAGAAAAACTCATATGTGGTTGTGGAAACTTGAACTTTGAACTTATGCTTGAAATAATATCAGGCTCGCTTGCAGCCCATTGACTGCCTGATGTTGATTTTTATCAAGTTTCAATCGTATTGTGCCAATCATAGTCTTAAACCTCTCAGAATAGCTAGTGCTTTTTTGGTTTTGCAGGTTATGTACTAAATTCACTTACTATAAGATTTCAGTGCATTTTAGCAATATTTTAGGAAACTTTGAATTAAAAAGAATCTTTTTTTATTTTTTTTTTTTACAAATCTCCCTAAAATTCTGCTACATGGATGAAAATAAATGACTAAGATTTTTTACATTAAACTTACCATCACTTCTACTTGTTAAATTACATCACATTGGCATTGTAATAGTGTCTAAAATATACTCCATTATTGATCAAGCTGCCTTCTAGTATCACCAATATTTTAGATAGTGGTGTCTCTAAAACTCATTTAAAAGTGAACTGATCACCATTCCATAACTACTCAGTGTAATTTAAGAGCAGTACAAAGTCTCCCATACAATGAATGTACTCAGGACATAAAGAGTTTCTCTACTGACAACTGCATTTAAAACTTAAATTAGCTCACAGACCTGGCTACATGCAGGCCAGGAGCTAACAGCACGCACCACAATTTACATTAGGTTATTACGGGAGATATGGTAGGAAAAGTTAATTGCTACACCTAATATACTCCTATTCACATCCCACTGTATGATATAGGAAAATAATAATAAGAATAATAATAGTAAAAAAAGCCAAAATATCAAATGATCAAAAATAAGGTATTTTTGAAAATGCAAAAAACTGAAACTTACAGCAGCAATACTAACCTTAGAACCCTGGACATGCAACAGACAAAACAGACAACAGATCACAACAATAAAAGAAAAAGAAAATTATTTAAGTTAACTAAAAATACAAGGTAAATTGAAACAAATTAATATCTTGGAATTATACATTTGTTTATTTTCTATTTAAAAACAGCAAAACATTTAAGCTCAGCATGAACATTTGAAAATAAAGACTTGTCAAAGATAGCTATGCACAAGGAAAACTTTAAATCTTGTACTATTATAAAGTTCATGTAAACACTGATCCTTCCAAAGCAATGTACATCTTTTATGTAGTAGATAATTTTTTGAAGCAATGCAAAATAAAGTAATTTTAAACTAATTGTACAGATATGAGAATTTTACAACAAGCCATTCAACTGAAATGTAATAAAGTAGTTAATCCTTTTATGAGGAGGCAAATATGTTTAAATTGCTTTGAAAAAACAATAATCCTTTTATGAGGAGGCAAATATGTTTAAATTGCTTTGAAAAAACAAATATGAATTACAACAAACAACCTGGTTCCTCATGCATAATGCTCTTCCCTTGGATACATTACAAGATAGATCATTATAACATTACATTTGGGAGTGTCTTCTTAAACATAAACCAGTATCAAACTAGATAAGACAATGGCTTTGAGGCACAAGAAAAAAAAATATCAGGATTTACTTAGACACTCAGACTTAGCTGACCTTCAAATTTCACTGTTCACAATTAGATAGTGTGTTAAATTTTTATGGCTACAATTAGATAGTGTGTTAAATTTTTATGGCTTGGTTTTAGGTAGAACCACTTTCTCTATTATCACAGTGGGCTAGGAACTAATTCTTAAGTTTTCACTGCTTTTGTTTTAAAAATAGAAAGACACCTCAGAGTATGTCAGTTATCATTGCTATAATTTAGACATTGGAAGAACCTAACCTAACAAAAAGAAAAACAAGCTGAAATGAACTGTTTTCTTCCTCCTTGGGCCAGTAAATACCACACTCAACTAGTTTTTAAATGTGTCTTCATCTTTTCGTAGTTGGATGCAGCTGGGGAATTAACCTGTGGCTATTATGTCTCAATTAGTAGCTGACAATTTTCATATCAGTTTTATCACCTTTGATTCTCAGAATTGTTGTAGACCATGCAGTACCCGTGGAACAACAAAAGTCCTGAACATGTTAATAGTAATGCTATACACAGGTCATACATCTCAGCTTCTAATCCACAGACCTAATGAGGCCATCATTAAATGTTTAATGGAGTTTTGTGGTCAGGTCATATAACACCAGCAGCTCTCAGATCACAATTCAAAAGCTGATATTTTGAATTCTGGAAGTTTGTTCTGAATTGTCACTTATATTTAAACTCCTCAAATTTACTTTTGCTTTGCTTAATGTCCTCACATCCTTGTCACAGCTGCTATCCTTGTATCAAGCAGTGATTACTTCCAATTGCTAGCTTGTACACAAAATGTTTTATCTGTAAACCTGCTTCTATAAACAGAAATCATCTTCTGCAAACCTTTTCCCTTACAGGTCCTGGTTTTCACACTTCCACAGCATCTTAATAATGTCTTCCTTATGATTGTAGCTAATTTTAGAAAGCCTCCCAACAGAAAGGAGAAAATAAAAGGAAATCAGTATTTTTTATTTTATGACCTCCCCATAATTGTAGCAGAATTATCTAATATTCCAAATTTAATATACTAGACATCAGAATTAAAATTAGAAGACACTACAGATTATATTTGAAACCAAAAAATCTGCTCATATTTTTTGCTAATATTTAATTCAATTTCAAATTGTTTCATATATACAATTGGCAACACTTTAAAAACACCAGCATTTAAAGCAAGTCCATGTACAGACCCTGGGATAAGAGTAGTGTAAAAATGAAACTGAGTAAAATATTAAAAATTGGGGGAATAGATTATTGTGAATTACTTTTTTTGGTAAACTTTGCCCTGTATGCCATACAAACATATAACCTCTGCACTCTTGAGTTACCCATTTGTGAGTGGTTTGCTTACAGGAAAGATGAATTTTTTTCCTTTTATTTTCTCTTTTTAAATTTTTTTTTATTTAAAGTTTTCTATTCAGATCATCCTAGTCTGGATTAAAAAAACCAAACCACCAAACAAAACAACAACAAAAAAAACCAAATGCAACAAAAACCAACCTAACAAATAAAAACCCCAAACCACACCAAAAAGAAAACAAAAAGAAACCCCACAAGATAAAAGGTAGATTTCTATTACAAGAGTTCCATAGTGAGGGAATTCTATAGTTAAGACTGCCCATTCTACAGCAGGCAAGGAATCATGCATTAATCTTCCACCCAGCCCAGAAGAATTGCCATTTCTCTCCAAATCTGAACTATGCAAAGGAAAAAGTCTTTTTGAAATGGGAAGTTTTTCAAATATTCATCTTTTTAAGTAAATTGTGACTGTACTACTTTTTTCTAGCAAGGGAGAGAACACAATATAGAATCTGTTGTACAAAAGAAAAAAAAACCAAACCAAAACTGCAATTGCTCCAGCATTCTGAAAGTCATTTTGCTAAATTTATGCTTGGCTCTGTTCTTCAAATAGACTTAATTAATTCAAGCATCTAATATTCAGCATCTGTTCTACTAATAAGAAATAGGTGAAGTGCTTTACAAAAATCAGAGGCAATGGGATACATGTAATAGCAGCTAAATCTATAGCAGATTGTTGAGAAGAGAGTTTTGCAGCAGAATTTAGGACTGCTTAAGATGGAGTGGCCCAGAATGAACTCAGATTTGCTTGAACTCCCAGTGATTCACTGAAATCAAGGAGCTGTGCACAGGCAGGACTGTGAGACAGTCGAAAATGGAACTGTGTGCTTCTGTCTTTCTCCATTAGAAAACAAGCTATCTCATGAAAAGAGACTGGATTGAGCTCCAAGCTAACAATCATTCCAGCCAGACCCTACAGGGATCTGGTAGATGTCTACATCTGAGATATCTGAATCATTTGCTTCTGTTGGGTAGATCTCCATTGGCTAGAAATCTAGGCCACATATATGTACTTCAAGTGAATACTGAGATTCACCCTAATCTCTTCATGAATTCTATCCCTGTTTCAGTCATCCCAAAGTTAAAGGGTGGAATGACCTTTACTGTCTGTTCTATAGTTTTTTTGCTTTCATGTTTCATTATTGCAGACTAAAAAGTAAATTAATTTTCTATAAGAAGATGTAAATACATGACCTATACCACAAATAAAAGATACTAAAATGAAATAAATAAAACCTACTACTTTAAAATTTCAATATGGGCCCCAAAAGATCTTCAGTGGGAATATCAGTGCCACCATTCATGAAAGTGAAAAGGGTAAAATTCAGTAAAAATGAGCTTATGCATGTTGATAAATTGAATATATGTATTCTACAGGATCTACAAAATGTCAGGGTTTTGACAACCCAGAAAAGCTCCTCAGAACAGAGATATGGAGGATCAGAAACTAAACACCAGGAAGATGGTGTGGATTCAAACAGGCACACCAGGAGGTATGACTCAATCCTACAAAGTCATAAAGGATATGGAACTGAATAAAGACATGATTAACCACTCTTTTCATAGTATAAACAGTAAAGCACATAGTGACTTTACGCATTTAAGCAGGCTTAAGTAAAACAAAGACAAGAAGTGCTTCGAAGGTTATATAATTGCTTTGTCAGGCTCAATGCCATAGGATATTATGGAAGCTAAAGGCGTAAGTAGCTTCAAAAAAGATTAGATAAAGTCTAGAAGGATGAATTCCTCAGCGGTTATTAAATATGACAGCTCAAAAACCCTCTCTAGCTGTTAAAGTTCTAAATGCTGAAACAGTGTTATTAGAGCAATCAATGTGCTTGCTCAGAGTTCTGAATTTTGATGTAAGCTGCAAGCAGTCACTGTTGGTGGCAGAATGCTAAAGCAGATGGGCCCATGGGCTGACCCAGGGAGGCAGCTTACGTAGCCTGTGAACAGCTTCTTTTTGGAAGAGCAGTGCAATATGGCTTGAGTGGACTTCTAACGCCTGGCTTCAATCACAGAACTACACAGACTAACAGAATGGTTGGGGTTGGAAGGGATATGAACTCTGTACCTTGTGGATAGAAAGTTATTCATTAATGTAATTAATTACAACACAGTAGGTTCCACATGGAAATCAAGAAACACTTTTCCATGGAGAGGCTGACTGAGCACTGGCACAAATTGCTTAGGGAGGTGATGGAGTCTCCATCCTCAGAGACAGTGACAAGGTGTCTCAACACAGTCCTGAATAACTGGATGTAGATGGCCCTGCTTGAGCATGGATGTTGGAGCAGATGACCTCCGGTATCCCCTTTCCAGCCTCAGCCGTTCTGTGATTCTGTGTGTCTTTGGATCAGTGAGGGAGAAAGCTTACAGGTCTTTTCCCCTTTTAATCTGGCAGAAAGTGTCTAGTAGCAGGCCTGCTGTAAGTGTTTTTATGCAGTGGAAATGTCATATCAATCTTCCAATTTCAAACCTCTTCTCTCTTCCCATTAGCAGCTTCTGGAAGGAGGAGGGCGAGACAGCCTTTTGTAACTGATTGCTTTCAGCGGCCTACTTTGCCCTTTCAGGACTGAGAAGAAATATATTCTGAACCAGCAATCCATCCACTTCTGCATAGCAGTTCAAGGATGCACAAGCATTAGAAGTCTGAGAATCAGTGTGAAACTTCTTTTCATTCATCATATGATGGATATTCACAAGTGGTCTGATACCCAGCAGGACATCTGCTCCCTTCGAAACCGTGATTCAGAACAAGACTGAGGGAGAGCACCTGCTCTAAGAAGGGAAGATGAGCTGCACTGTTCATATCTGTCACAGTGATGAATAAATCCACCTTCTTTTTAATCCTTATGGATGGGCAATGAGGAACAGGAATGGAGTTGAATGGGCAGGAAGAATCTTTTTTTTTTTTTTTAGTTTGACACAGTAGGATTCATTCAATTTGAAGCCAGAAACCAAACTTTAAGTGAATTACTCTATTTCACAATTTATTTTTATTTTATTGACCTGGACAGATGGTAAAATTAAGCATTCAAGTGTTCATAATACACAAAGTCCCCATATAGTGGAGAAATGTGGGCATAATACCCAAATTTGAAAATGTAGTCTTTCATATCAGTGCATAAAAATCACTGCTACTGAGCAAGGCAGTATTGACACACAGTATTTTAACAAATGGATATGTAATTATTAAAGCTGTGTCAGGTAACTGTCTATACACAGACACACACATATATGTTATCCAAAATAAATAGAGAGGAATAATGAACCTCAAAATCATTATTCCGTAAAATGGTTCTGCAGTATCATAAACCAGGACAAGAGTTAAAACCCGCAAATAGCATTCAGTGGAAGTGAAACCTAATTGATGTTGTGCCTGTTTTATATTTTTATATAAAAATGTCAAAACACCATCATTTTCAAATGATGCCTAAAATGTTTGCTTTAAAAAAACATCTCCCAATGTCCTTTCCTCTAAAGAATGATAGTGCAGCCTGTGTTTCAAGACGGCTCAGTATGAACTTGCTCATACTTGTCAATATTTACAATGAAGCACCTGCAAAATCAGGATCTTAATATTATTCTTCTGACTACAGACATTAATTGTAGTCTTTCACTTATATATATTTGCTTATAGCAAATATTTTTCCAGTTAACACTAAAAATAGTAAAGAGACAGCATTTTATCATTAATTGCCTGTCTGAAAATCACATTAATGCTTAGCAAATTGACAGCATATACATTCACACCATTCAAAATCTGCAAAAAAATATTTAACTAGAAGTAACAGTAAAGAAAAAAGTAATCTCAATAGCTGAATGTCTAGAAAAAATTATTTGAGATTTTATTGCAAATCCCATTTGCAGTCTCCAGTGCCTATTACCTACATTTTTTCAGAAGAGTGTCTTTGTCTTTCATGGGTCTCATTGTCTCCCCTTTCACATACCAATATTAACCAAAGATAATTTTTACAGGATGCTCAAGATGACATTTAATATGAAAGAAATAGTCACAGATATTAAATGCACAGACAAGGCATCCCATTCGAATAACATAATTACTCTTGTCAGTAATGCAGTATTTATAAAATATTCCTCCCTTTTTAGTGATGATACTCTGCCTGCCTGAGCTTTAATCTGCTAAGAAGTTACACCTTTCAGGGGATAAAAGAATCAGTTATTTTCAATATAAGATTAAAAAAAAAAAAAGGGGGAAGGACCAATTGAAGGAAGAAGTAAACACAGCAGAGAGGGGATGACTCATTTGGCATGCAAACTAATAGTGGCCATGCAAAAAAGGTTTATGAATATCAATGAGTAGACATCATAAAACATGCTGTTTTATTACAGGAATCATTATCCTAATGGTCATCCCTTTAAATGAAATATTAAATAACTATGAGATATTATTCTCACTATGTACTACTTCTCTGATAAAATTAGCACTTCAAATGCAAAATGTTATAAACACTCTGTATATCAAAGTGTAACAGTTTGATCATAAATTAAAATTTTTGAAGGAATTAGCAGAAAGGGGACAGGAGTCCCTAAAGAAGGTTCAGCTGAAAATAGCAGTTTGCATTATTAACAACAATTTCTAATACGACCACTAGGTGGAAATATTGTACTTACAGTTGGGGATGTGGCTGCTGACAGCAATGGTAAAATTCCTCCACAAGCAATAATAATATTGTCTACCATCTGGGAAATGAGGTGTATTGTGTTGTGTACAAAAATAATATTTTCATTGCTATTGACAAAGTCCATCACAGACTTTGTGGAGTGACTGTAAGGATGGAAGAAAAGATGGATTAAAAACAAACAATTAAAATAAATTTTAGATAAATACGTTCTTTGCAACCATATTGTGAATGTTTCTTTGATAAAAAGGAAAAATCTGGTCTAAAAAACTTTGCATGTAAATTGCCTAAAAATATCAACAAGGCTAGTTTAATGAACAAACTGATTGCTATCTATTTTTTCACAGGATTATATTCAAATACACAGCTGAGAACATCTTCTAACCTTTTATTCCCATCATCCAATACTTCACAGGCAGTTCTGCTGAAAGCAGTGGAGTTGTTTCTGCAGCATGAAAGCAAGTATTTCATATTGAGTTCACCATGCTGCACCAGTGGCATTTGAAGAACCCTTGATAACAGCTAAGGGTAACACCTACTATGGTTTTAAAGGAGAAACTTGATAACATGGCCATAACTTGATTTCATATTAACTTTGTTAACTGATAATAAACCAAGCATTAATAATAGCTCTGAAAGCCACGGATGCGTGTAAGAGTAGGTGAAATCTCAGCAATTCCTAATTGGTGAGCAATTGTCCTATGAAACAGTCACTCCCCCAAAATATAAAACCCCTGTGTAAAAATACTGAGGAATGCTCTGTCTGTAAGTATGGTCCTTCCCCAAAGCAACATTTGTTGTTAGCCAGCAAACAAAAATTAAAGACTTCAACTGAAAAGATACAATCTGAACTTTAACCTTCAAGCACTAGCTGAACACAAAATACAACCTCCTCCCATAAACTTGTCCAAAGCAAAACATCAAAAATTGTCTATTTCCAAGTGAGTTTACCTGACTGGAAATTAAATGTGATATAAACTGCTCCTTTGATAAAACTATGCTCAAGGTTTGTGAAAATGAACTATTCTGTAGTGGAAATTAGAGTAAAATGTCTCATATTAAAGTTACAAAGTACCTCTATTAACAAGTACAAAACGTACAAAAGCACTAGGAAATCACATAAAATATTATATGATCACCAAGGCTAAACCCAACCAGGAGCTGGCATGCAAAAGAAAATTTTTCAATAGAGCGTTTCCTCAGAAGATGTTACAGGAAAGAGGTTTTATGTATACACCTTACAAGCAGAGAAGCTCTCTTTTAATTGATCAGTTAGGAAAATGGCCATTAGCAGAAGTCATCCTGTCTGGAACAGGGGTGGTAGATTCTAATGCTCAATATAAGCTGGAAAAATGGCTCAGCTTGTTTAGGTTTTCAGGATTTATACAATTCCTCAAGAAAACAGGAATTACTACCTGTGAAATAGAGCTGTTCCAGACTGGGAAAGGGGTAAAAAGAGAAGGTAGAAGAGGCATTGCAGCTAACACCAACTCTTTTCCTCCCCACCATCCCCCCTCCAACACGCCTAATTTTTCCTTATTGATGGAAACACAGATCAGGAGTTAAAGAAGAAACAACAACCCACCTTCTCCAAACATGTACATCTGTTTCTAGTGCAAAAAGCAAGTCTGTCAGGAGCCGCTGGTGCATGGGAGACCATTTAAACTCTGGAATACGAAACATAGTTGTGCGTGGGCCTGGACTAAACTGTCGTCGCTGCTCTTCCGTCATTGGCATCCCTCGAAACCCCAAGTCAACACGTAAATCCCGGTCTTGCTGGGTGACAGATCGACCTTGTATTGCCTACATCAACAAGAGGTTCAAAAATGATGTTAACTTTATGCAGTGTGTTTTTGAATGCAATACAGAACCTGAGAAATGAAGGATAAAACCATGTGGCCACAAAACCACAGGAGATATTGATGTTCCAAGGCAGGCAGTAAATGAACTGCTCAAACCAATTGCTCAAACCAATCAGTGCTGAGGGGCTGTGGCTGGCCCCCTTTTCAGCTACTCACCAAGCTTTTAATTTCAGTTTCTTCACTTGAAGTCTTACAGAAAAGACCAAATGTAGTCCATTCAAGGTCAGTGACAAGATTTTGTTTATATGTAACAATTATATTTTGGGCTAAAGACACAATTTTCTTGGAAGATTTGACTGAAAACATGGACAAACTACATAGTGGTGGCTTCAAGGAATGTGTAATTTTGGACAGCCCCTCATTTTTCAAAACTGATTAATTTATCTGGTCTTTTTAGCAGGATCATTAGAGAATTACATCTAGTCTCCCAAATCCCATTTTGTCAATTTAAAAACAAAAGAGAACTCTGCAAAACAATTATTTTAGCAATGCAAAAATAGACATAGCACTCAAGCTGAACTGAAAAGTTTCTTGTTTATTTAGTCTGATCTTGATCAGCTGTAGCCAGAATTATGAGAGCAGAAAAAGTTTCCTTTATATAATCTGACCTCTTCGGACTAAAATTATTACAGTCAAATAACTGCATTTCCTATGTTTTTCTTAGAGTTATCTTTAAATTATTGGCTTGTTTTTAGCTAGAAACATAGGAAAGAGTGAATTTGATACTCTTCAATATTTGATCTATTATTAATAAAAGTATTAACTGCTCTTAGAAGTAAGCAGTAGTTCCTATCTCTGTTGCACAATTTGCTTGCTTTTTTTCAGTCCATTTGAATAAAAGACAGTCACTGACAAGGCAGGGAGATGATTGTAGACATGTATTTACAGAATTTGAGGTTAGCAACTCCAGTCAAATACATTCTCCTTCAGGTACAACTGCAGGTAACCCTCATGTCAGCAGCAAGAGTGGTACCATAACTGTGATATAACTGGGGAGCTTTTATCTAGCCAGTAATACTGTGTCTGCAAGAACAGGCTTTGACCTGCATTGCTGCTGCATAAACAAGCATGAAACATGTAAGTATCTCTACTTAGGTGACTGGTCTTTAAGTAAGCCTGTTTTTTCAGTGGTCTCAAGAAGATAAATCTAATGAGGTAGTTACTACACCTACAGCAATCAAAACTCCAACTTCCAGCTCCACTGTAAACATGCTAAAATAAAATTTCTCATTATTCAACAAAGCAATAATTTTCCATTTGTATTTTATTTAATAACTACTTTATTTTTTTATTACAGTTAACTTAATTTAAGAAAAAGTATTTAACCATGGACAGTTTAGAGTTCATAGCACCCAAAGAAGAGATTAGACGATGAATTTCTGCTGGTTGCTCAGTTGATAATTCTTTTTGAGAAGATTATTTAATAAAGAGATTAATGTCCACACATTTAAACCAAGTCAATGTAGTTTATCTTTGATTTGGTAGGAAATAACTGCTATTTAAGTAGTATATGCAATATATATTTTCTATAAAGTCATGAAAGATTTCACATTATGGCATTTTCAAAGAAAATGGGCCTGGAAGATGTACTTTTTTCATATAATTAATGAATTATACTTAAAATATCTCTTAGATCTCATACTATTAATCTCCCCCTCAGCAATAAGCAGTGATTACATCAGACATGGCTACATGGCTACTTGAAATTTACCTGGGTCGTGGTAGTAGTCTGGATTTTCCGTATCTCCTTCCCTGCCTCCTTACCATCATCAGATCTTTCTGTATCTGATATTATACTGCCTGCATCAACATTAGGTACAGTTTTGTTACCAGAAGACTCTGTTTCAAGAGTTGTGGCAGTCATCTCAGCATATTCTAATCCTTTAGATGATGAGGACAACTCCCTCTCAGAAATGCTATTCATTCCATCTGAAGTGGTGTGAATCTTGAACTCTTTGTCCTCTATTATACTTGAAGCACAAGTTATATCTACACTTCCTGTCATATGTGCAAGCAATCCCAAATCATCATTTACACCAAGATGCATCTGTGTCTCTTGAACATTTGGAATGGCAATGTGATTACTTGAAAGTTCAGGAAGAAGTTTTTCCTCCTGACTAGGTATTTTATCAAAGAGAAATGAGGTATTATTAGTAGAAGGTTCATCTTTCTCATCAGCCAGAGTTATTAATGGACCATTATCTTTTTCCTCATTCTTCTTAATAATACCCACACTTCCATGAACATTGTTTTGGAGCTTCTCAACAGCTGCACTATATACATTATCTAGAAGAGATTCCACTTCTACCAGTGCACCATTTTCTCCAGTTCCCAGTGTCTCTGGTGACAAATCCATATCATCAAGTTTTACTTCAGTAGCTTCTACTTTTTCAGCTTTTATATCAACTAAAAGGTCATGAACTTCCACATGCACTCCTCCTCCTCCAGGTCTCTCAGCAGTTCCAAGCACATCATCTGACACTTTTGTAGCCATGAGCAAGTCCCTCGTATCTGTATTGACGGGGTAATCTGTTTCACTTTCTGGGCTTTGACTTTGTGAAAGATCTTCTATCTCTCGAATTTCCATTCCACCTTTTGCTCCTGTTGTCTGAGAGGAAAGACCTGAGATTGTGCTCACATTCCCTTTCTTCCCCTTTTTTATGTTTTCTTCCTCTTGCCTTTGATACTCTTCATACATTTTTGCTAGATATTCCTTGTGAGCTTCATATGTGACCTTGAAAAGAAAAGAAGAGAGTACGTGGAGGAATATACACTAGATGAACTGGGCAGAATCTAGCAACATTTGTAGGAACATATTAAGTACAGCTTACAAAGTGACAAGGAAAAAAGCCGCCTTGACATGAATACCAAGAGCCACCAGATGGCACTAAATCACTTTACATCTTATATTGCTACTGCCTTTGGGGGTTATCAGCATTCACAAAAACATCTATGAGCTGTTCCTTACCTTGGAATGGGCTATAGAAAGAGTATCCACCCACACTCTCCAGCCTCCCCATTCATATTTTATTGCATGGTACAAGAGAATACGGAAAATGTTGTAAACCATCTCTGTGATCTTCTGCTCTTCCGAGTTCTTAGGGTTAATGTATCCCAGAGAAAACATCCAGTCCTGCCACACTGAACACTGAAGTAAACATCTAAAGTGAAATAATTAGTTCAAAATATATCCAAACAAAGCTTCTTTATTTTAACATTACAATGACTAAGATGGGAGGAACATCATTGCTTAACATCAATCCAATGTTAGGAATAACCAGAAAAATACTTCAGTATGAAAAAAAAAAAAGTATACTACAGAGCAGAATCCAGTATTAGCTACTGAACTAAGAAATGTTACCACAAATGTATTAAATTTATTTTAAATAAATTTAATTTATTACAGACTATAAAACACTACACAGAGTATAACAAATTATTATTACCCAGAAATCAAGGAGGAGAACATACTATTTGTATTGACATACCTTCTGTTTTCACGGCTATTACTAAAGAGTTTTATCATATCAGATAAGAACAAACGTCGAACTTCCATCAGCTCTGCACTTGGTGTGGAGTTTTTTAACAGCGTTGCCACCACCTTAAGAATCACTTTGAAAGAATAAATTAGTTATGTAAAGCACTTTACCAATGTTTAAAAAAATAAATAGTTGCTGACAGCAATTAATGCAAGAGGCAACTGAAACCCATATGTATCTAAAATACATGAATGAATTGTTCACTTTCTGACCCATCATTTCCAAAATTCCACAGCCTCTGGGTAACACATTTATCAAACAAACATAATATATTGTCCTTACTTGGATTCTGAATTTTCACTGTTGAATCTGGCTCTGGATGAGGTTTATGAACAACTTGGGTGCATACTTGTTCTGTCAAAATCTAAAACAGAATATTAACTTCCTTTTACCATCTTTAATCAAACACTACAGTATTCCTTTGTTAATTTTAAAATTTGTTAAGAACATTTACCGTGGTCACATGCAACGTCATATAAAAAATTTAGGTGAAATATTTTAAATCTTGAAGAATGGGATAAAGCAATTCCTCTATGCAGGAATAAAGACCTTAATGGTTGTACTGTAGCTGATTAGCTAAACTAAATATATAATAACAGTATTTTAAAGATATTCCATTCATATTCTCATTCTGTCATACATTCACAGATCAAAATACCTTTCACAAGCTACATACATCAACAGTCATTCTCATACATTTCATCAAAACCAAACCAAATAATCCTTAAAACTGGCTTTGGTTTCCTCTAGATAGTAAAGTATAAGAGTCAGAGATAGCACTCCATAGGAATAATCCTGGGGCTTCACATAATGATGAAGATAGAGCATTCTCCTGTCGCTTGAATTGTACCTGACAGCCTAATTAATCTGTATTGAGGCAACGCTGCAAATCTTTCACACTGGGATATCTGTCACTGGATATGTATATGCAACTTTGTTTTTAAGAACAAACTGAAAATTCAGTGGTATCAACACAGAATTCTCAGTAAATACATTCAAGAAAATGCATTTCAAAATAGAGTAATTTTGGTAGTAAAATTTATTTTAAAGAAGAACTTTTGCTCTCTCATTAAAAAATAATCAAACTAACATCAGTCATAACAGTATCTTAGAATAGGTCTTTACATACTGATATTTAAAACAGAATAGAGGGCAATTATGCCCTTGCTTTTTATGAGAGACTATGGAAAATATCTGTTCCTTAGCATCAGTTTCTCAGCAAATCTTCTGTACTTGCAGCACTCAACCTCTTTTTTCTCCTTTCCTCTGGCTATTTTATCAAATGTAAATGCCTGTGGATGCTGAACTCCATGAGGACTTTGATTTTGTCAGCGAGTTATGCATTTTCTGAGAATACCAATCACAGAAGCTCTCAGAAGACTGAATGCAGGAACTAGACTCTGATGCTCAAGTGGCCAAACCATAAAAGGTAATGTGCAATAGTAAAGAATTTGGATCTAAGTTATTGGCAAATAGATGATGTCTAGGTTTTTACAATCATAGGAGAAAAATTTTCTATGTTACTCAAACCTAGAACCCTGAAAACCAAGCACTCCTCTAGTCTCTTTTTTCTTTTCTGGAACCTAACCTGAGCATCTAGTCATGAAATCTATTTGTGACTAAAAAATATATTAAAAATCTTTTTAGTGGGTAAGATTTGCAGAAATTGCAAGAGATTCTACTCTACATCACCATTTTAGCAATAATTGAAGATTGGGTATGACCTTTAAGTGTGCAGGCATGAAGACATGCGTTTCAACCAACTTGATGTTCTCAATATTTTGCTTTTATGAAATTGTTCATCATTGAAACTGAAGCTTCTACAAGAACCATACTTATTCACCTCAAGCAGTATCTGCTACATAAAAGTGGCTGTGTTAGTTATCATTTGGCATGGTTAAAAAAGGAAAAACAGCACTCTTCAAAATCTTGTAAACTTAAAATGAGTGACATGAAAAAGAAAAAAGAAGAGGCATTTCTGACTTCAGCACTTTCCATTTCAATGGAAAGAAACTCTCCAAACAACGGAGAAGTATGAGCAATTGAAGGTCTGCAGTATCTGTTGTGGTTTTTAGCTTTTTTTTGTTAAAAGTAATGAACATTCTAAGTAACAGGATCCCTTCTATCAGAAGTGGGAAGTTTTATAGGGCCTATGTAAAAATTATGACAATGTTAATAAAAACATCTAAAATGTGGCAAAATACATTATGAACCAAGAAATACTTTCTCAAACTTTCTAAAATTTTTCTCCAAAGTCTTAAGAATCAGGATACTATAGAGCAGAGATATTTTTAAGTCATACTTCTTACAGCAGAAATGATAATATTTACATTTAATAATTTGTACCTCATAAAGTGTGTTATATGTTGTAACGGTTACTGTATTTGTGTGCAGCATCAACCTTTCTCCAAGAAGTGTGAAAAGACTGTGAGTATGCATGATTTCAACCTTTCTCCTGTAAGAGAAAACAAAAATATCAGGCACATGCCAAGCGTGATGAGCATTTTAAGCAAATGCAAGATAAAACCCAAATATTTTGACACAGTACTAAAAAGCTCTCAACGTGTTATTTTATATATGTTTAAGATATTTTCCACAATGAAAGCAATTGTACAAATATACAAAGGTTCTCAGAAAACAATGCTGTATTTAGGATGGGCTTTTGCATAAAATCAAACACCATTCTCAAAGTCAACTCCTGTCTTACTCAGGGTAGGAAAGTTCAAGATGTGCACAGGCTGGTTAAAATGTTATCACTGAAGAACACACCTTTTGTCATGCCACAAGAACTCAGGACAATCCAGATTCATACATACATATATATATATGTATCCCGGTCTAACACATGTTGCAATGAAAAAGAAAAAAGAATCCTGAAAAATTACAGAATTCTACATGATTCAAGTGTATTTCATATCTGGGATCCAAAAATACTCAAATCTTTGAAAAGTGGAGAAGGAAGCAGTTAACATCAATGAATTCCCCTTGTCCCTAAACCCCACTCTTTTAAGTATATAATAAAAACATATAATATTAATTATATTATCTATTACTAATTAATATAAACATCAATATTTAACTAATAATTTGATAATTATTATTATATTAATTAACATATAAATAATTATAATTAAATAACAAACTATAATGATTAATTATTTTATATATAAATAATATATAAAAATGTCCTATTTTAAAAATGGAATATAACATCATAAATAGAGCACTTCTCATACTTTGCATCACTAAATTCATCTAGTACTATTTAAATTTACCTACTATTATAATGGATATGAAATAAAAATCATCCTTCAAAATAAATAATAATCTATATTAAAGCAGCAGAAAAAAATTAAATAGGACACAGTAACATTTCTAAAAATTGTATGCATTCAAAAGCTAAGAAACTGTGTTTTCATGATTACCAGTACACATAAATTAAATGTGTTCTTTCTAGAAATTTTGAAATTAATAGATTATTTTATAACTTTCAAAGTACCACAAAAGAGAGTAGCAACAACTTACAACTGTGTGTACTTTTCTATGCACAGAAGGGAGTTCATGAGTCAGTTATGAGAAAACCTACAGTTATTCAACCTTTTTAAGGTATGATTTAGCAGATAGAAGTAGAAATCCATTGGGAGGTTTAAATGTGTGAGTAAAACCCAAAAGTAAACAATGGGCTATTATTTCATGTGGTGGCATAGAAAGAATCAAATATGACACAGGAGGAAAAAAAAGGATTTTGTCAAATGCTAAGGTTAGTCAAAGTAGTCTATCATCACAGATCATAAAGAAAAATCAATCTAGTTATTCAGGCTCTCATCTAACACATTACTGGTTATTTCTGAGAATAAATTACTTCTACTCTATAGCTTGATCAGTGATGCATATAGGAATATAAGAACTACAGCAACGGTGACTGGTTGAGTACCTACACATTTGGTAGTAATACTGTATTGGTTTAGATTTCATAAATCATGTAACATCTCTTTATACAATTCTGCTTCAGTGTATTACAGTGCAATGCCTGTTTCCTGTACTGTGAAACAGGAATACAAGTACTTTATAATTTTTGTGCTCGACTTTCATTTCATAAAGTCATGTGTATGCTCACATATGTATGTGAACAAAAAGGCACAAGCACTAGCTGTAAAACATGAAATGGAAGGGTGTTTTTACTTGCTAAAATATACATAAAATATGCACATTTGCAGATGTTCAGAGGTCTAAAAATTAAAAAAAAACTTCAAAAGTTACACAGAGTATTCAAAGGGATTTCAATCACTCCAATTACATGAAAAATAAAGTTAATTTTTTGCTAAGTATATATGTTCATTCAACAATGGAAACTACACTGATATATCTATATAATTGCAAGTAGAAGTTAAATTAAAATTTCAGCTTCTGGAAAATTTCTTTTCTTTTTTTTGTAACCATAGAATATGCTGAGTTAGGAGGGATTCAAAAAGATCACCAAGTCCAACTCCTGGCCCTGCACAGCACCATCCCCAAGAGTCACACCCTGTGTCCGAGAGCAATGTCCAAGCACTTCTTGAACTCTGTCAGGCTTGGTGCTATGATCACTTCCCTGGGGAGCCTGTTCCAGTGCCCAGCTACCCCCTGGGTGAAAAGCTTTTTCCTGAAATCCAACCAAAACCTCCCCTGAATCAGCTTCAGGACATTTCCTTGGGCCCTGTCACAGATCACCACAGAGGTCAGGTCAGTGCCTGCCCTCCCCTTCCCCTCCTGAGGAAGTTGTAACTGCAGTGAGATCTCCCCTCAGTCTTCTCCAGACTGAACAGACTGAGTGACCTCAGCCACTCCTCATATGGCTTCCCCTCAAGGCCTTTCAGCATCCTTGTGGTCCTCTTTTGAACACTCTCTAATAGTTTAATGTCCTTATACTGTGGCACCCAAAGCTGCCCCCAGCACTGGAGGTGAGGCTGCCTCAGCTCAGAGCAGAGCAGGACAATCCCCTCCCTTGCCCGGCTGCCCATGCTGTGCCTGATGCACCCAGGACATAGGCTGCTACATGATTTTCTGCATAAGTGATAAATATTTTAAACAAATGTATTTATCTGGATACAAGTAGGCTTCTGACAAGTCAAATCTTCATCTGGTGTATCATACTTAATTCAACTCCTATCAATGTGAATGACTTTTACTAAGTAATGTTTGAAAAGTCCTTGGAGATTCTTGAGTGGACTATCAATTTGCTTTATTAATTCCCAGAACAGTATTTGACTTGCTGGGTCCCAAAGGAAAAATCCCATTTAGAAGCATATTCTCAGCTAACTGTCTCTCAATTATACAGGCATACTTTATTGATCTTACCGAGAAAAGCATTTCTAGCAATACCACACTCCGGCTGGACTCCTACCTCCTTCCCTTACATGATGAAGTCTCTTGTGAAGCACATGGTTAATTTTTATAATTCACAGCTTCCCGCTAAAATGCCATTTTGGGGTAATCCCAGCAGGGATATTAACACCACACGTAGAAGGGGAAAAATGGGCAACAGCAGGCTATGCAGCACTGCATGATCGTTAGCGCTTTCTTGACACTATAATATGGAAGATCAGACTAAGTAAGACCATTTTGTAACAGGTCTTTTTAACTTGCCACATTTTCTGTGTGAGTATCTCTTGCACAGAGATATGTCCTTACCACCTTTTTTAAACACCACTTGCTTGATGTATCTGCTTTTCCTTCTGAAATATTCCCATGTCAATGAAATATTCTACTTCATTTTTCCCATCCTTCTAAAACTATTTTTAGAAGTGCTGCCCTGAAAATTTTATTGCAATGACACTGATAATTCCAGAAGCAAATTTTAGATTGCACTCATATGTTTCCTGTTAACTTTAGCTGAACATGCAATATTTAGTTATAAGATGTATTTCTGGAAACTGTTTTTCCCTTGTTTTAAGACTCAAGTTTCAGCATATCGTATATCTAAAAGACAACCAATGTATTGCTTCAAACATCATAGTTATAGCAAGGTAACTGGAAAAAAAAAAAAATCTGATTTTTAAAGCTAACAGTGTACAAATTATTGTTCAGAAAAACTAATAATTTGAAGTAATTTCTAAAAACCAACAAAAAATATACAGTAATCACGACAAAAAGACATGAAGAACTATGAATTTAAATACACCACTACAAAAATTTTAAAACAACACTTACTTATGACCCAAATGTTTAAGAAAATATCCAAGGACCTTCAAAGCTTGCACCCATATACTTTCACTTTTGGAAGCCAGTAACTTATAAATTACTCTAAAAAAGAAAAACACATTCAAGCTCAAACATCATATATATAGATTGCACTAATAAACATCACATATCTAGCTTGTATTTCACTGGGCAAAGATATTTATAAAGAAATAAATAATAACAACAATTTACACAAAATAGGATATACTGAAAGGATCAAGTGCAGCGTAAGAGTTCGATCATGAATTCTTCAGGTTGGAGACATGGTGCAGTTTGGTTCAGTTCAATATTTTATAACAGAAAGTAACATCTTATCCTCTACTTCTCTCTTGGAACAAGCAAATAAACGACAGTCCGAGCTTAGGACAAGAGAAGCAAATTGGAACACATAAGATCATATCCTGGAGTACCTGGATGCTAGTAAAAATCTCCTTTCATTACACCCTCTGCTTTTAAATTCTGTATAAAAGAAACCCCTGTGCCTCAAATATTAACTGATCTAATTATTAAATATTTAATTATTGTTTAAGTAATAAAATCAATATTACAGGTTTAAACACAAATTATGCAGTCTTGCAGAAAGGAAGCCAGCCTTGATCTGAAGTCACTAAGAGACAAAAAACATTACCCCTGCCCTGCACTGTTCCGTAACAAGTTTTTTAATTTATATTTTAGTTTTCCATTAGAATTAGCTTGGCTTCAGCTTTTAGCCCTACTTTCTAATCTTTTTCCACTAATGAGTGCTTTTTCAGACAAGATCTTCATCTTTTGAAATGACTTCTGCTATTATCAAATGGCCTCTGGGGCTTTTGTCCTCTGACATCTTAGGCAAACCTAACTTTTTGTATGGATTTGGGAATGTATTGTTTTGTTTCTTAAACAATTAAAAGTTGTAATTCTGTGCATTCTCCCCAGTTCTTGAACATAGACTTTCAAACATAAACACTGCACCATCAAACACTTTCAATATCAGTTACATAAAGATGTCTCCAGTCTTCCAGAACAGACTTACCTTTCTTCGAAAAATGAGAGGGAGAGAACTCTGTTTGAATACAAACTATAGGCAGAAAGCAAAGTCCTAACCATGAGTCTTTCCTTCAACAAGCATTGTCATTCAGACAGTTTTAAATACATATCTTTGTACATATCTTTAATTACATATCTTTGTACATATCTTGGCACTTAGGCAAAATGGAGCTTGAATCTATCAAGTACTAGATGTTATGGGATTTTACAAACCCCTGGCATTTTCAAAAATATTTTCAAAACAGCACAAAATAAAGTGTCATAGTAAACATGAAATTATTAACATGGAAATTATTAGTCCCTGAAAAAAAATATATTTCCAAATTAGACATAAACCCCTGCAAAAATAACATTTCTTTGGGAATTATCAGCTATTAATTTTACAGCCAAACAGATAAATAAATTAATTCTACTTTTTTCAGACAGAATTTGAGAGGCTAGGGCATGATTTCTTGTTTTCCTCTTCCTCTCCCCAGAGAATGTTAAAAATACAAAGAAAGAATATTTTAAATTATTCTGAGATAGATACACGGCTATTTGATGCATCTTTTTAATTACACATTCTATTTGAGATTGAGAAGCAAGTAAAACAGTGCAGTTTCTTTGAGATATCATAATGGTAATCTTAAGTGGAAATTCTTTTTTTCCTCCAACATATTGAAATCACTCACTTTGTCAAAAAATAAAGCCTAAGTTAATGAAATTGAAGTTTAAAAGATCAGCAAGTGTGATATTTATGTGAAAAAAGAAGCAAACTGGAGAGTGAGGATACTGGAACTACTTTTAATGTATTTTCTCACTTCACTGTCTTACCGTATCCCATTTCTCTGATCAAAGGCAGGAATCATGGATGCTGGATGTTCGGACATTAGTGCCACTAGCAGCTGCAGCACATCATGAATATTTTCATCCTGTATGACAAGCACCAACGTTATTCTACAAACTAACCTCAACAACAAGCTTCCCACAGAGCTGGTATAAATAGTTACAATAAAAGATAGGTAATTACAGAAATGTACCTCATGCATTGTTAATAAGTAATTTAATATGCTCTGCAGTTCATCTTCTTTCACTCCTCGATCCTAAGGAAAAAAAAAAAAGGGCCATTATTCAGAGTAAATACATTCCTCAGGTTTGGATAATCAAACCTTGGACCTAGTTAAATAATCCTACAGCTTTTTTATCTGAACCTAAAAGACTAAATTCTATCATTCTACTGCTTTCCTTTATTGCATTGACAGTTTAAAACAGAATGAGGTCAGATTCTTCTAGTGTGGGCCCAGAGATACTACAAACTATTACTGTTACTCCTGCAGTTTGTGAGACAGGACAGAAAATACTTGTTTTCAGTCTAGTCTCAAGTGGCAGATTACCCCTCAAAGAGTAGCATTCAGCTGTAACAGAGAGAAAGAGTCCTACACCATTTCTACCAGTGGTAGAATGTATGAGAAGGTAAAAGCAATAACTAGTTTGATAATTTCAATTATATTTTAATTAAAATATAATAAATATGACAATTAAAATATTTTATATATTGAATATAAATATATTAAGCATTTAATAAAATATACATGGCAGAGTCTGGTGAGGTTAATAAAAAATTTTGTGTGCATTTACTACTTCTCTGTTGATTAGAAGGATGTGCATAAACATTAAATTAACCAGGAAAAGACACAATACTGGACAGGTATTACTGATTTTCTACTATGAAAGATACTATTACAAGTATACAACAGCTGTCAATGTTTCATTCTGGAATAGACCATTTTACCTTCAATATAAGTTGTTTCAAGAACAGAAGCATAAATGCCCTTAATGATACGATTTCTTTCTGGGAGGGCCGAGGACCATCTGGAAGAAACAAAATATAGCACTTTTAAATATAAACTAATTCTTTTAATCACTGCAGCTTCTTAAGGAAATCACAGTTCCTATGACAGATTTAATACTCTACTCTTATATAAAAGTTCATATTTGCAAATTATATCATTTATAACCTTTCAGAATCACATTTTCAACACAATATATTTAAGTGATGTTCCATTTGGAAAAAAATAAATCCATATTATATTTTACACAGCTTTTAAAAGAAACAGGAAGATGAAAGATAGTAATGAGGTGATAGTAGTAGATAGGCAGAAATATGTGATAAGCAACTTGTTAGTTGTTAAACATTTAACTACATTAAATACCATCTACATGAAAACCAACAGAGAAAGGATTTATAAAATAATAGTGGTAACCATTACCTGTAGTTTAAGAAACTAAAGACATTTAACCAAAGAGAAACTACTATCTAAAGAAAATATTAAATTTAAACCAGGAAAAAGAATGTAATCCATAATACTTTAAACAACTGTGCTTGATGAAGTGTATTATGAAAACAGAAACATCTAAACAAGCCAGAACTTGAACAACTATAGTAATTTGAAACTATTTCTGTTGTATTTCCCATTCTACTTTTTCATAAATATTGAATTTGAACTGGAAATTCTGTTAAGTTCCTGCTTTTCAGACAATGCATGGCATAGACAGCCTTAAATTTTGACCAGTAAAAATAAAGGCAACTTAAATTATTTTTCCATCAGCCTATACTTTTCCAATAGCCTATACTATTCCATCTTATACTGATAAACACAGATCAAACTTTAAAAACAGTCTACGTCTCATTATTATTTCCAATCCAGATTTTTTCTAATTGTCTTTGGTGATGCTTTTTGAAGTGAAGCCACTGGTTTACACACAGTAACTCAGCTTTGCAACAAGGGAAAACCTTAAGGGAATGTATATTTGTTTCACTAGGAGGAACAAAAAGAATGGCTAATACATTCAAGTTTTCTTCCCTGTTTAGGAGTGGAAAGAGAAGAACTGTGTACTCCTCAGAAAAAAGCAAATAAATCTCAAGCCCTCCACCCACTGTTTGTAAGAACACTGAGGGTACTGTAGTAAAATGTTCTAACAGATTCGTTTCAAAGATACAAGAATAGTTTATATTAAATAATTCTACTGGCACCATGAAACATCTGTTTTCCACTGTAAAAACAGAAGTCAGTTGGATTTTTTTGTTGTTTTTTTTTTGTACTAGATGCAATTATATTAAATGCTGCATGAACTTTTAGCAATGGAGTGTTTGTTATCAACAAGCTATTTTTATCTAATAAATAAATAAATATTATATTTTTATATAATTTAGCTATTTTTCCCCTTAATTTAAATTCAAGTTCCCTAACAGCATCACAGAAGTTTCTTTCTTTCTACACCCTCTTCCCTCCTACACCTAATTGGGATTCAATATCAGACAATATCTGAAAACCAAGACTAAAAGAAAAAATTGACATTTTGTCTTTTCCCTGGAGAGGTGTGACAACCTTGAAAAGGGTTCTTCAACATCCAAAGGCTACCAAAGGAGTTGCTGCTTGCAGGCTATGCCAAGCAGGTAAAGTGTAATTTTCCCTTCAGTCCGCTAGTACTATTTATTCCTTGCCTTTTAGTTGGGTCAGGAAGCTTCACTGCTCTAAAATCAGAAAAAGGGGACTAGCTGCTACCCAAAAGACTCCACTGGTTTCAGAAATTAAAAGAGGACTAGCAAGGAGAAATAGGACAGGCTGGAGAAACTGGAGGCTATGTAACCACCAGACAGCTACAAAGAATGGAAGAAACGACTGCAGCAATATGATGCAATGATCATCTGACACAGACTGAATAGAATTAAATAGGAAGTTCTAAAGATACCTAAATCAGATTTTCCACTATAGTTTTTTTACTTCATTGCTAATTAAATTACTTCATTCCTAGTTGAAGATTTATTTTTGAAAAATGTATTACCGACCAAACAATGATGTCATTTATCACACAATTAAAAAAGTATACATTATCTACACATATACTGAGGCAGAGAAAGACAAGTAGATCTTGTTTTTCAACTCAAACATTGCAAAGTAGTTTTTTTTTACTATTAATCTTTGTGTCCATCACTGCATATAGACAATTCAGTGTCACCATCACTCAGACACTGATAGTCAGCGCTGCTAAAGACTAAAACCAATCTCAAATTAGATCAATTATGAAGATAATCCTTTCAAGATCTGGTACAGCAACCATAAATCCCTAATACAAAATAGTAACATTCTTTTTAATTGGCAAAGAGAAAGGATGCTTCCCTTATCCCACACAAGGATGAGTCATTAAAGCATTTCCTGCTTTTAGATTTCTTTATGTATGTATTTTTCACAGAGCCCATCATTTGCGTCAGATTTTTTAAAATATGCACTCATAATAAGAGTTAGCCAGCTTTACCCAGACAAAAATAAATGAAAAAAAAATTATAATTGTATCCAGCTCATCCTTGAAGCATAGAGAAATTATAGGCCCATAAACCAGAAATAAATAAGAAGAAATAAGTAAACATATTCACAGAGTTAAGTACAAACAGTACTGCTGTGAAAAAAAACAACAACAAAAAAAAGACCAAAAAACTAAAACAAAACAAAATCCACCCTCAAAAAAAAACCTCAAAAAACCAACAACAAAAAAACACAACCGACTGGGAGCTTTGAATAACAAAAATAAGAATTTCCAATTCTTTGGAATTGGAATTCTGTCTTTGGGAATTAAATTGTATTATCAGTTCTACCAATAGCCAAATGTAACATTTTTTCATCTGTTTTGATTTTTTTTTTTTAGCATGTAAAAAGCATGATTTTTCTACTCTTTAAATTAATAAAACATGATACAGATAGCAGAATCTCATCTCCATGCACACATAAATAACATCACATGATATGTGGATCACAGAGCACCTGATTTTCTCTCTGCTGCAAGTCTAACAAGGACTGATTTCCACTCTAATCCAGCTCTTGAAATAACTATATGGAACTTTTTCTATCTACAAAAAGAAAAACTATAGCTACTTTCTCCTCACAATAATTTCTGTAATTCCCACTTCTACATATTATGTTCAAAAATATTGGACATGAAAAACATTCTTGAAAACTATTTAACATGATGTAACTTGTACTTTAACCACCATGGATTCTCAGTAAGGATACATGATGCTACTCATATAAAGGTAGTACTCATGGAGAGCTGGAGTGTGAAGAACACTGAAGGAAACAGCAGTAGTGAGAAATGCTTGGCCACTCAGTTCAGGAATGAACTAAACCACACAGTAGTTGGGAACTTAAATGCACATTTCCCTCATACAACACAGGCACCCCAGAGAAGTGGTCACAGCACCAAGCCTGCCTGACTTCAAGAGCTGGGACAATGCCCTCAGGCACAAGATGCTACTCTTGGGGTGTCCTATACAGGGCCAGCAATTGGACTGGATGGGTCCCTTCCAACTCAACGTAAAATAAAATAATATAATTACAGAAAACGGCTATAGATTTTAAATAATTTACACTACATTGCCTGCTTTGTTTTGTGTTTGATACTGGAATAGCTGGGCGATCCTATTATCCTTATTCCGTATGATTTAACAAAATATTAAAGGCATGCATGTGGCAAATCAAGATAACAGCTAACCATAGTCCAAATGGAAAAATAAATAATAAAATTTAGATTTTATTCTTTGGAAATTAGTTTGACTTTTTAAGCTGTTTTTAAAAAAAATTGAAACAAGCAACATCAGAAGAAAAGTGTAACTCATAATTTTAAACAGACAACTTGTTTCCCCTGTGTGGGTCTACATCTAAAACTTAGATGAATAATTATTAACAATTTACTAAGAATAATTATGGGAAAAGTTGACACTTTTACACTCTGAAACAGTGTTTCCAGTACCTCAGAAGGAAATGAAAACACAAATATGAATTCAGTATTCTGAATCTAAGAAGGAATACCAGCATGGAACAGAAAACCAATAATGAAAGAGAAGATACAAAACCAAATTTAAAATAAGTATGTGAGCCTTTTAAAATTTTTATTTATTTATTTTATTTATAAAAAAATCAATTTTTTAAAAAGCCTTTATACTTCCCATATTAGGAGAAGCAAAAGAAAAGCTTTCACTTTTAAAAGAAAGCATCATTTGCCAAATGGGAGACTTCAATATTGAGCTCCCTTGGCTTTAAAATAAGGTTACTAAACTGTCACTGCAGAAAACTCACCCACTTTGTGCCTTATTAAGACAGCGGAAGGCAATAAAACCCTGAAGAAGAGTAATTGTCAGCATGTAATAGTAAATCAAACTACTAATATAAAAAAGTGTTTCAGTATCTCCACATAAAAGATGACATGCCTAGAAGACAAGAAAACATCACACTACTAAAATGTCTGCATGAATAAGCTTACTTCCTAATATGACAGCAAATTATTTGAAAGCACTTTAGCACATGCAGTCAAATTTCAGATAATGGCATGAGTAAAGCCTTCTCCAAATATGAAAAGTCTCACGTCAAGTCAGCCTAGAATTTCAGCTGTAATTTACTCACATGATGACATTTTTCTGTTTCATACATTAAAATTAATGTTAATAGAAAATTAGTCCTATTCTTCCATTTTGAGATATCAAATACTACTTATAACACAGCAACTTTAACTTTCACATAATTGTATTCTTACACTGCAACTTTCTTACTTTAACAAAATTTTTTATACATTATTCTACATTTCAACAAATTACAGACTTGCTGGCAGTAGGGGCTGCAGTCAGGCTAATAAAAATTACCACAAAGCCAAAATCCTGGAAGAGTTACTTTTTTTTAACTATTGGGATTGGTGAAGTTATGAGATACTGAAAACAGAGGTAAAAATAAAAAAGCCTTAAGAGTAATAACTACAGCTACTTCTAGGACTGTATTCTATTACTGTAAGCTGTCTGAATTAGCCAGACATGCATTAATGTTAAAAACCCATCTGGTAATGAAAAGTGATGCAATATCCAGGTGATTAAACATTTTTAAATATTTTCAGGAATTTTATCAACTGTTAGCAACTAATGTGGATTTCATAAAAAAACCTTTTATGAAATGAAGTTAATATGAAATTAAATTTAGCAACCCATCACTTCAGCAATTATTGCATCTTCACAGTCATTTCCTTGCAAATCACCACAGTTATTACAGGTCTGTTAGTCAGAAGCACAAGCTATCTGTGACGTAATAACAAAAAAATCCCCAGTGCTGATTTGCATGGAGAAAACTCCATAGCTGTGCTGGGTTTGGATATCTGTTGCTAAGTCACTGATCCACCTCTCTGATAGGCTGACATTCTTCAATGCAACACAAGAAAAGCCACTCTTAAAAACAGAAAAATAAGTACTACTACTTTGTAGCTTTATCAGTTACACAGGGCTTTCTGCAGGGAAGAAGAGGATAGAGAACAAGGAAGAAAGAAGCCATTAAACTTTCAAAAAGTCAAATTTATCTATAAATCTAACCAAAGACAAAATGAGAAAATTCAGATATAGTGGATCACATGTTTTTTAAAAATATGCATGGCATCACTTTATAAAACACCTTCCCAACTACTGCATGAAGGCCTTAGAAATTTTGATTTTTGTTTTCAAACTGCTACACCAAGCACTCACTAATTTACACTGCCTGATTACTTTTCAGGAACTGACCTGGTTGCCTTCCAGATGAAAAAAAAAAATTGTGTCTGGAACTGACACAAATGAGAGGAGGATGTACTATACTTTGAATGAAAGAAAAGGCAGGGATGTAAACCAGCCATATCTGTGCTTAATTTAGAGTTAACTGATTCATTTCTCATTCCTAATTTTGTATCCTCGTGTACCTCATGCCTTCTGTTAAGATTTTGATGAATACATTATATATTTTTTGAGGCTATGCAACTGGCATTATGTGGGAAATAGAAAAGCTAGAAAACTCTCAGAAGCTGTGTGAAAACAGATTTCAGAATAGAAGAGTGCAAGAATAAAGACCTGCAAGGACAGGAAACAATAAGGCTGTGTTTTTGAGCTGTGTAAAGGCAGGCCTTAGAACATATGATAAGCAAGATAATATTAAAATGTAAGTTTAATAATGAAGCTTTATCCATTGTTTTTAAGCTACAACAAGCAAACATTGTAAGAAGCCAAGTGTACATGCAGCTTTAATGATTCACTTAAGCAAACACTTCTAAGCTTTTAACATTACCCTATTGGCTAGAAAGTTTTTTAAAAGGCATTGTAACCAAGAGAATTTTGGCTGCTGTTGTAATGGCATGAGCTTTCAACATCTTTTGTGTCTCACCTTGTCCTGAGGCTGATGCTGGAAATAAAGCTCAAGGAGTGCCTACCTGCAGCCCCCTCCGTTATTGATAAATAAAGATCCAACAGCATTACACATACAAATACTCAAAAAACACAGCTAACTGCAAAGAGACAGATCTGGGCAAGATAAAAACAATCCATGCTTCCCACAGAAAGAAATGTCACTGACTCCACAAAGAGCAAACCTAGCCAGAAGGAAGCAATCTGTAATATGCAATACATTTTCAAAGTGTTGTTAGGTAGTAGCATTACAACACAGAAGAACAGGATTTTTTAAAATTTAAATAAATATACTAGAAAAAAAAAATAAAAAACATCAGCCATAACAAGTAGACTGTATTCTCAAACTTCCACTCTCAAGCTAGTTGAGGAATTTTCCAAGTCTCTATCTAGCTGTAAATGTGGTTGACACCTGAAAACTTCACCTCAGAACAGCTGGGTATTCAAAAGTGACAAACACAGTGTACATTAGCTGATCATCTGAGTTTTAAACATCCCAGTTCCTCACTGATCTCAGATATAGTTAATTTGTCTGATGGTAAAACTGTACCAAAGGAGCATAGCAGTGTAAACCTCAACAGAGCAGATCTCTGAAAGTATGAATCTGCATAAAGCCACTCCCAGGGTAGGATTCAGCTCACCCTAATTTCAGACATCAACAGTGCAGTTCCCACACAAGACCAGCTTCTAACCTTCCACCAAGGTTAGTGGAGATCTAACCAATAGAGGCAACACAGTCTAAGAAGCAACTACATTTCAAACAAAGCATTTCTCGGTGCCTGTTAATAGAGGTAAGACACAGCCTCCTAAACATACTTATCATTGTAAGTAGTCATGCTATAAAGTATACAAAATATCTACCAAAACAAGCAGATTTGGTGTTGGATACACAGGAAACCTGCATCCTTCTGAGAGACAGGTGAGATACCCCACCAAGACTAAAATGATGCTAGAAACCTGTATTAAGACAACTGACTCTTGTACTCCACTGTACATAATCAGCAGATATCTAGGTCAGAAGGAGACATCCTCACTGCAGGCACCAAAAAAAGAAGTTAATTCTATTTTGGCAGCAGGAATCCAGAATCAGCGTAAGTGGATAATATAATTTATCACTGATAGAGTTCAAGTTAACTAACTACCTACCACAGGTAATTTTCATTATCTGGGATTTCAAACTTTCGTTTAAATGAACAGAGAACAGAAGGATTTTGTTAAGTATTTTAAAATAAATTTTAATAATTTTTGAAGACTACTCTTCATCTAATATTAATAGTTTGAGAAAACTATGAATGTGTTCCAACATCCTAGAGCAGCTCTTTCTGTGACCTTCAACACCTTCATTGCCCATTAGGATACCTAATATAGGAAAAGAATTGTAATTTCTGGTTTTATTTATTAAAAAAAACAATATTGAGGAAAACCCCTATGCATGCAGCTCACTTACAAATAAGAATCCTCCAATAACTAATGTATTAGATATGTAATACTCCTGAATATTTGGATATGTGGCAGTACTAGAAATATTCCCCAGTTATTCAATTTCTCAGCATGACATTAATATTTACACAACAAGAATAATTAATAAATTCACCTTTATCAGGTATTCCTTCAGGGACTTTCAACCAAATCCTTCCTGCTTTACACAAGTAGTTAGCTAAATGTAATGGCATTACAGCCAGAATGTATAGGATTAGAATGATTTGTTCTGGTTAATACACATCTGTAACATGCAGTGCTCAAGCAGTATCCATTATTGCATTTTGTTGGTGCTGTCATTCAGTACCTCCTCTGCTAAGCTAAGTGAATCAATTTAAGCAAAGTTGAATAAATCTCTATTTTATAATGACAGGGGAAAAATATTGTTGAACTGGAAATACAGCTTCAGAGACCTCTGCAGTGAGAACTGGAAGTTTCCACTCTGTTTTCAAGGTCACTTAACACTACTAATGACTCAAACCTCACAAAACTTTCTTTGGCATATGAAATACATGTAATATTTCCTCTTCATTACAGAGGAAGAAAAAATCAATCTTTTTAATATATTTCCTAAGTTATGCCCACATAAGTATATACTACATGACTGGAGACCAGAGTTGGAATCTTTTGGGAATACATATAAACATAAATTATCAGCATGGGTTTACGATACACCAAAAAGTACTTCCACAGTCCTCCTACTGATGACCTCTGGTATCAACTATTGCCATTTATTTACTTCTTGCTAAACAGATCCAAGGAGCTTTCAGACATTTACATCATAAACCTTCCTATGAGAGAAATGCTTTTATTTTCCTCCTTAGGTGTGGCACTTACCCAATCCTTTCGGAGTAATGCCACTGCTATCAGCAGGATTGACCACCCAGTAGTAGTATTTCAGCGTGTGCATTAACTGCAGCACCGTGCCCACTCTGCGGATGGTGTTATAGATCGTAGCAGTCCCAATGAATTCAGCTGACAGGTAGGTGTACAAAGACAGCTGCACCTGAGGAATGAAACAGTCCTCCACATAAATCTCTGTATCAGTAACCGTACACTGTAGGGGTCTTTTTAGAATAGACTCTGGATATGATATAAAAAACTGAAAGACTAATTGCAACGCTGGTTAGGACAAGGCCTGCACTGGTACCTAGGAATGACTTAAGTAACGATAAACATACTGGCTTGATTTCTATTCTGACTTTTTATACGAGAAGTATATATTCTCAGTTTTTAGGACAATGCCACTTTTCACTTTGGTTTGCATATCTCAACTATGATTACTTAGGAAAACAAGTAATTCATTATTACCAGAGATGAGCAATAACATTTTAGAGATTTTATCAAACTAGAATACATAGTTTGAATTAAAATGAGAGCTTAAGTTAATTTGTAACAAAACACATTTTGCCTGCAATTAAAAATACAAAATTTTATGCTTAATATGCAGGAAAAAAATGTAATGCAATCACTGAAAAAGGAACTGCGTTTCTTGAAGCAGTCTTTTCATAGAATCAGACAGGACCTTAGGCAATAATTTAACTGCTTTTAAAAAATTATAAAAGACATTGGAGTATATAGTTAAGCAGTGTACAGACTTCATGATCTAAAAATCATTTCCGTTACATGTTTATAAAAAGAAAACCCAAAAGAGCAAACCCAAAAACCTAAGTAGAATGTTGTAAAAGAATACAGGCATTTAATTTTGTTGTAGGCACGTCATAACATTATTCAAGCATACCATTACCTTTGCAGGGGTATGTATCCAGATAGCAGGATTAAAAAGGATGTGATCACATAATTGCTTCAGTAGAGGTGCTCCATGAGATAATCCATCCAAATATTTTGCAAATGACAAAAATTGTTCCAGAACTGCTCTGGTTATATGAACTCTAGATGACTGGGAGAAAATAATCAGAAAGAAAAAAGATAAAGAAAAACTCTTCATTAATATAATTATAGCAGAACTATGAAGCAATATTTTCACCTGGCTCATCATTAGTAATTACATGCAGCCTTGCATGTTTTGATGTCATTTAATATAAAGACAGTTTGTGCTTTATACTTTCTAACACTATTAATGGTCTTTCTAATGGATATATTTAGCATGTTAAAATATTCATGAATAACTTTATTTTTTTGTTTGTTTGTTTTTTGGTATTTTGCTTAGTTGGGTTTGTTTTCATTTGATTAGAATCCAGTCAGGATCCTACATTTCTACTTCATCTGAAGTCCTTATTTCTTCTTAAATTAAAGAAGTGTCTTACTGAAATTGGGTGTCTCAGTGTGCAAACACACATTATTGAGAGACTTGCATTTGTTTCTTAAACTTGAGTAGGTGTTTGAAGGAGCTGGGTTCATGGTTTCCTCAAATTTCAGGACTCTTTCAGTTTCATAGCATATGCTGAAAAATCACTGCTGAGACCTGCTCCTATGTAGTAGCGTGGCATGAGGACTTTTACTTCTTTCTATACTAATTAACAGATTAACAAATAGTAAAAAACTCTGAACATCCTTCTCCTTGCCTTCTCCACAAAATGTCAAGCACTGGACCAGGCTGCTCAGGGAAGTGATGGAGTCACTATCCTGGGGTATTTAAAAGGTGTGTAGATGTGGCACTGAGGGACAAGGTTTAGTGGTGGACTTGGTAGTGCTGGGTTAGGAATTGGACTCGATTTTAAAGGTCTTCTCTAACATAAATAATTCTGTGATTATATTTTTCAATTATTTTTAATGCTGTAACTATGGTCTGGGAATATGGAGATTTAAGAAAAAAAAGCTCTTTGTCTTCTCTGAAGTATTTGATGACATGCAAATGAACAACAGATACAACAGACAATTTACAAATAATAAAATTGAGACTAGGAAACAAAATGATTTTTTCCCACCATGTGTGCCAACAGAATATAAGCATATATTGAAAAAAACAGAATACATCCTTTCAAAAAAAACTGCATCTAAGTGAATATAATGTAAAAAACATCCAGAAAACAACATATGTTTTAAGAATTATGCTGTGATCAAAGGAAATCCTTTAACTATTCACATGCCCAAGTCTAATGAACATAGCAGGTGTTAATTAAAAGAGCATGCAAACTTTTAAAAAAAAATAAATGTGTATAACATTATTAATTGATGTATTCCATGTGTGTAAACCACAGTGCTCTATTCAGGAGAAAGCCATCCATGAAGGATCACAGGTCTGTCTGTAACTTACCAAACCAAGGCTAACAACTTTGTAAATTCATTCTGGTTATGGCACAAGAAAACCTACCCTTGGAAAAAAACACCACCTTAGGCTAATTCTTTGAAATTCTAAATCACACTTGCCTAGTAGTGAAAAGAGAAGCACAGAAAATCTGCTTTTATGTATTAAGCGAAGGTATTTCCCTAGCCACAAAGAACAAAGTGAACAGAATGAGAGAAATTACTTCTCATTCTTCTTCAAAATTCAGAGCATTTCTGAAAGGTGATACTATGATTTTTATCTTCTGCTTAAAAGATTGCTATGCTGACCTCATGGTAATAAAAGCCCAGTAGTAGACATCCATGAATGCCAGAGCCATGAGCTTCAGTCATAGGACCACCAGTATATTAGTAGAGCTGGCAGTAGTTTGCTCTCAGATTATTGAGATTATTAAACCCCAGTAACAGGGTGTCATGAGGCAGGGAGGCAGGTGATGTTCCCCAGAAAACTGAACCTCAGTTTTGTGATAAATACTCACCACTCCTGAAAACAAGCAAGTGGGAATGCCCCCTGCAACTATTTCTTTCAGAAATTAGGTTTTGTTACAGTTTTTCTTCTTCAAAACACAGGGCAACTATTTAAAGAATTTCAGAATTGAGTTACAGAAGATTAATTTAACTTTTATTAACCTATTCACACATGAAAAAATAAATCTAAGTTATGACATTTCTGCTATGTCTGTACAAACTAGAACCAAGAGAATTTCCTAAGTGAGTTTGGGTGGACAGAAAGTGCAGAAATGAAAATACTTTAAAGTGATTCACAAACAAATTTAATGTAAGAACATAAATAAGAGAACAGAACCACCTTGAGAAAATTGATTCTGGTCAATACTGGTATGTAAGAGGACAAGGAAGATGAACAGACTCTTGTAGACAACTTATAAAACATTTTTAATTTGCAATACGTATATCAACTAGAAAGCCTTTTCCACCAAGCATTTGTTCTTGCATGGCTACTGAACTCTTAAGAAGCTCAACCAAGAAAGCCAATAGGGTAGCACTGCATGTAAAGAACAAGATTTTTTTCAGATTAAAAATGTTGCTTTCTCAATAATCACCGGATATTAAGTAAACAGAAATAGGCTTAAGGTGGTGAACAATTCCTTAAAAGAATACAAATCTTATTTTTTCTCTCAAGAAATTTCTCCAGTGATTTTTCGCATATTACAATGGCGGGAGTGGGAATTCATTCTCAAACAAGCACCGTCAGTACTCCTGGTTTGACCATGACTATCCCATTTTTAAATAGTCCTGGAGCTTTCAGTTCAAGCCAAAGTTTTGGCAGCTGAAAGAGGCAGAAGATGCTGAGTGGAGTCCCGTTGACAGTGCTAGAATGATGCAGGCAGGGGCTGTGTCAAACATTTCACTATTCAGACTAACTACACTAAACACCTAGTGGCTGCAAACTTTGCTATGTCCTCATTCCACACTTTCAGTCCCTAGAGTCACTATTAACACACAAATGAGGCATAAAATGTTTGAACATAAATACAGGCAATGATGCCCACAAACCACAGTGGAACAGCAGGGAGGAGAGCTTCCTTTGAACTTTCTAAAGACCAAACATGAGAATAGTATTGGCCTGACCAAAGAAAGGTTAAGGATTGTTTTTCATCCAGTAAGGAAAGTCTAACTTCTGACTAGAAAGGAAGAGAGACTCCAGAGGCTACAAGGAAATCACCCAACAGCCCATCCCAACAGTATCTTCAAGTGAAGTGTTTAGAAAGTACAGGGAGAGAAAGTGTTCAGAAAAGGTTACAGTATAGAAACATAAGAGATAAGAAAGACTTCATGGGATGGAACTGGCAAGAAAGTGAAACTATGTTATGAAAACCAGCAGTGGAAACATATGACAGATCAACCCACCACAGGGAAAATAAATCATAATTGACTCTCGGGTGATGAGAATAAAACAAAAATACACTCATCTGTTGCTGAAAAACCCAGAGGAAAGGGGGAAAGAAAAAAAAAATGTGACAGAAAGTATTTTAAATTACTTTTCAAATATCTCAAAAAGGTAAATGACAGAATATATTGTAGTGCAGATAGAATTCATATATAAAATCATTATTCCTTTTCTAAAAATTAAATAGATGTAACAGTTCCTAGCTGTACAGACAAGTGTCTGCAACCACAAAAGTTCTTGCATAGGTAGTGGGCACAGGCAAGAGTGGCAACTGTGGATTTTGCAAGTATGAAAAAGGGACTTAAAGAAAATGTCCAATCTGCATTTGATACATTGCAACTTTTCTCAGAGTATCTAGTCATCTAAAGGTTCACTTGCTCTTCAAATTGAATCTCTTACTTTGAAATAAAAGTTGAGTTGGTTAATCCACAACAGCACCAAAAAATAATCAAAGTGCTGAGGAAAACAAGATTTATTCTATTTGATGAGTAAAGCTGCCAGTGCAAAAGGACAGAGTAGCCAAAGTACGTGCTGGGAACATGAAATAGTGCCTTGTCTCTGTTCATTGTTGAATGGTCATAATAATCCATCTAAAAGCACATACAAAATGCTCCACAGAGTGTCAGGAATAAAAGTACACAGATAATATGTATTTACAGTACTCCAAAGCTTTTATCAAAACAGCCTGTCAAGCTGTCACATCAACTTCAACTTCAAATTATATGCATCAACTTTTTCTTACCCCAACCAAAAGTGTCTACTGTATTTGTCATCTAAAATAAGAATCTAATCATTTTTATAACATGAAAATCCATAAGCAGCTCACATAGTGTTGAAGATATAAATTTAGATTTTTTTAAAAAATTGAATAGGTGAAAGAAAATTCCATTTAGATAGACGGTGCTTACTACCATCCTCTATGAGTAACCTTATGACTTAGAACAACAAGCCATTATGCATGAAGTCAAGAAACAGTGTACATCTTTGCAGAATTAGAATTTAAATTACAATAGCAAATTCCATTAATATCACATTGAAATATCAAAAAATATCCTTAAAATGGATTGTAAAGATTTTTGTACCATGAGCAGACTTAAGTTTATTTGCTATTCTCAGAAGTACTTTGTCAAAAGCCTTTAAATTTGTATCACAGTTTACTTGTTCATTCTATGAATTTAGATGTAAACTCAAGGGCTAGAGTTATTTATCTGATATCAGTACAATCTCTATACAACTTTTAGAAATTGTGACAGACTCTGAATGCAAGTTTTAAGACACATTGACACCATAACGATAAAGATATTTTTTCCTCTTTCCCTCTATTTAAGCACACATAAATGACAAGTCAACTCAGAAACCATAAGTGACCAGTTTATACCTAACCATGCCACGGACACTAAAACAGACAAGCTGGTTCTATGTAAGAAAGATGGACTCAAAAAAAGTGTAGTGATTCAGATGCAGCCTGTGTCCAGGTATAACTTTTTAGATATTAACCATCTTTATGCTGGCTATAGCTGAACTAATTAATCCTGCCTGCCCACATTACCTCTGCACAGATCTACCTTAGCTGCAGAGTGGTGCCAGTGTTTCTAGTTTCAGGGAAATGTATTAATTTGGCCAATGCCTTTGTGAATGAGCTATGCTTTTACTCATTTCCAAAAGGGCTTTTAACATCTATTGATCCAGACACATAATGATACCTCAATCCAGCTCTACAGAGTCAGCTCAGGTCTGCAGGCAGTAACTCTAACTTCTAATCCTTCTGCATTATCCAAGATTGCCATCATAAATAATAGAGTTGACTGCAGTATATAGTAATTCAAATCTTGGGATAGCACACATGAATGCATCATTACACCTTCAAGCACATTAAAAAAATCCAAGTACCAGAAAATGCAGCAGTTAAGGAGAACCATCTGGCAGGCATAAAGAGGCACAATGAAGTTTGAGATGAATACTGTATAGGACCACAGTATTGATAAAAATTAACATAATAATTGAATTTAAATAGCAGTTTGCTCATATTATTATGCAAGAAATGAAGTAAAAGATCTGTAATATTTTAACTCATAGAAGAACTATAAAATCAAAATGGAAGTTTTTAAAATTCTCATTGCATGTACAGTACTGAAGGATATTACTACCTGAAAATGATCAGAGGCAGAAAACAGACTACATGCTGTCTGTGGGGTTGGGGTGGGGGGGGGATAATTTTTTTTTGGAGG